CAGCTCCAGGTTGAGCTGTTGTTCAGCATCTTAGCTGTAGAGGGCAGTGTCACTGGCCCTCATATGTGGGATCTGAACCGGGGCCCTCTGGCGTCGCAAGCCAGTTCTTAACCATCGCGCCACTCGGCCGGCCCTCTTCTGCCTATTTTTAAAACTGAGTTGTTTTCTTATTACTGAGTTCTGAGAGTTCTTTATATATTATACATTTATACATCTAGGTACAAGTCTCTCTCAGATATGTGATTTGCACATAGATGTGCCACATCTGGCACATCTGTGTCTGTGGCTTGTCTTTTCATTGTCATAGCAGTGTCTTACAAATAGTAGACGTTTCAAATTTTGTCAAAGCCCAATTCATCAATATTTTCTTTTATGGATTTTGCCTTTGGTGTTGTTTCTGTGCAACCCAAGCTCATAAATATTTATCTCCTATGTTCTATTCTAGAAGTTTTATAGTTCCAGGTTTTAATTTAGGCCTATGATCCATTTTGACTTAATTTCTATATATGGTGTGAGGTATGAATAAAAGTTAATTTTTTTCACATATGGATATAATTACCACAGCATGTTTGTTGGAAATACTATCCTATCACCATTCAATTGCTTTTGTTAAAAAGCAGTTGTCTATATCTGTGTGGGTTTATTTCTGGATTCTTTATTGGGTTCCATTGATCTATCTGCTACAACATACTGTTTTGATAACTGTAGCTTTATCATGAGTCTCGACATTAGGTAATACTAGTCCTTCAACTTCATCTTTCTCAAAGTTGTTTTCGTTATTCTAAGTTCTTTGCATTTCCACATAAATTGTAGAATCAGCTTGTCAATTTCTACTCTCCCCACCCCACAAAAATATCCTGCTGGAATTTTGATTCTAATTGTGTTGAATCTGTAGATAAATTTGGGGAGGATTAAGCTAACCTTGCATTCCTAGAATAAACCCCCATTTAGTCAAGATATATTATTATCCTTGTAACATATCATTGTATTCTATTTGCTAAAATTTGGTCAATAATATTTTTGCATCTATGTTCATCAGGAGCATTGGTCTGTAGTTTTCCTGTAACGTCTTTAGTTTGGTTTTGGAATCAGAATAATGGTAGCTTCACAGAATGAGCTGAGAAGTACTCTTTCCTTTTTCATTTCCTGGAAGAATTTGTGTCAAAGTGGTATTATGTCTTCCTCAAGAATTCCTTGGTAGAATTCACCAGTGAATCCATCTGGGCCTGGAGTTTTCCATGTGGGAAGGTTTTAAACTACACGTTCAATTTCTTTATTTGATATAGGGCTCTACGGGCTATCTATTTCTTTGTGAATGAGCTTTGGCACGTTAGCTTTTTTGATATAGTGCTCTCCTGTTTCCAGGCAGATATCAACTGACCAACCCAGGGAGGCTATTTTTCTAAACAATCCCAAGATCGCGCTTACCTCTCTTGCCCAACTGCCCTTGTAGGCTGTGATGCTGACCAGGATATGTGCACCCACAGCCACAGAGGGAGAGAGGGAGTGCCCCCTGCCCCAGGAAGGCAGTGGGATTCAGAGCTATGGCCTCCAGTTCGATTCTCAAACCAACACACTGATTGGGATCCGGGCCTCCATATTAATCGATGAACTTGAAAATGTTACTTTATAAAAGTGCGTCCATACATCGTTCAAGTTTTGGTGCTAATTGCAGCCAGAGAATTGATTCTTGCCAATCAATGCTCCTGTACTTGCACGTGCTCCTGTGTCACTTCTCCCAGGGGTTAGCACTGGAAGCTAACCGCGTCTCAACCAAATCAGGGACTAAACTTTCCAAAGTCTCCCAGTTGCCACCAGGAGCATAAAAATCTCACAGCTGTGACTCTCCCTCAAGGCTTGGGGCAGGAAGTCTCCTCTTTCAGAGAAGGGAGCCTTGATGTGGCACCTGGGGACATGCTGAGCCATTAAAAGGAAGTTTCCGTGGCAGGCGCAGAGGGTATGTGAGGCCCAACATCTGTGACGTCTTCTTTCTTCTCTGGAATCTCAACTTTGTTTCTCTTGGCAAAAATTCGATTTATCTCCACAAACGTTTTGCCCTTGGTCTCAGGAATCACCACATAGATGTAAACAGCAGTGAGGAGGCAGATTCCAGCAAAGACGATGAAACTGTAGGCCCCAATGGCCTCCTAGGTCACAAGACAAGAAACCAGGAGAAAAGTGAGGACAAAGAAATGACGGACAGTTCTGGGGGAGGCCTTTGTGAGTCATGAAGGAGCTTCTGGGTGGCCAGTTTTACTTTTACTCCGGGAAGAGTGAAATAGTTAGAAAATTGGGCCCTGTTCTCACATCAAAAAGGATTACTTAGCCTTTTAACAAGAGTGACGTTATGTCCTCTGGCCACGAGGCATGGAGAATGTGGAGAAGCAGAGGAAGGGGGCTGCGGGAAGGGGATTTGCTCCCTCTCCCTGGGTCCAACTTGCTTTCTATTGCCTTTGAACTTGGCAGACCAGAGCCATTCAAGATTTGAATGAGGGAGCTCCTCTCAGTAAGTGGGAAACTGACATATTCAGAGTTTTGCTGAAGTGGTGTCACGTGTGTTTTATGGACCTGGAACCTGTCTGCCAGCCACCCACTGTCGAATTAGCTGATGTTCTTAGTAAGCTGCTGCATGGGAACCACTGCCTATTTCCTGGAGCCCCTTCTGCCTTGGGGGTGCGCAGGGTGGACCAGGGAGTGGGGCAAGGGGCCGCCCGCCATGCTGCCCACCGGATGTCCCCACTCACCTGGATGGAAGGGAACACGAAGCCCACGATGAAGTTGGTGAGCCAGTGCACTGCCCCGTCCACCATGAAGGCGGCCGGCCGGGAGGATTGCAGGAAGATCTCAGTCCTCACCACGGAGGGGACGGGACCTCAAGGGCAGAAAGCACAGGACAAATGGAGCGGAGAGGGGCTCGGAGGTCCCTATCCCCAACCCCAGACCCTTTGAGCACAGCCTGTCCCAGATGGCCAAGGGAAGAGGCCATCTCTCAGCCAGCGCACTTGTTTCCTTCCCCCCACTCAGGCTTCTCCTGGGCTCACCAACATCTGCGTGGGACAGGGTGGGGACAACCTCCTTGCAAGGTCCACAAAGAATCCTTTCTTCCCTGGTGTTGGTGTCATTTTGAAAATCTCAGTGAAAGGGAGCACAGAGCTCAATGCGCTCTTGTGCCTGGGAAGTGCTGCCCCCGTGTGGGAGGTCTGGGGAATGGCAAGTGCCTGCTGCCGGCACCTTACCTTGGGTCGGCTTCTCAACTTTTTTCCTAAGAAGGCTTGTCTAAAATGTCTAAAGCCATTTCCCCCCTCATCATCATCACTCATACAGTTTTAATACCACAGATACACTGTGTATCTGTTTATGTACTGTATGTCTATCTATGGCTTTACGCATAAACAGAATAAGATTCTCTCCCTCCCCCCAGCCAATTTCTGACCCTTGCGGGTGACATGACCATATTGAAAATGCTCAGTCTCGGTGGATGGAGATGGAAAGGAATTCAAAGCCCCCAACGAGCTGCACTTGGAACGTCAAATGCGAAACTCCTAACAATCCAGTGGGGAGGAAGCCTTCTTCGCTGATGAGAAGAGTTTTCTACGCTGCCAGCCTGTCCTGCCGCCTCCTTCCCCTCTAGGGAACCGGGAGCAAAGCAGTCCCTTAGGACCTGGCTCACAAGCCATACAGTCTAGGGTCTGATCCCCAATCTGCCGACACACCTGATCACCCACGTTCTTCACTCAGGAGCCCGAGGCCCGGAGAAGCACAGCGGCTTGCTCTGGCGACACAGGTAGTAAGAGACAAAAGGACCTACAACCCAGGTCTCCCCACACGCACGTCAGGCCTCTCGCCCCTGGTCCTTCCTGCCTCCCCAGTCAGGGCACAGGCCGGAAACCCCACCTAAATATCCTCAACCACGACCGTACAGCCTCATTCACAGCTCTATCCCCCATGCACGGCACAACACACAAAAGCAGGTATCCATCCCAACAGTGTGTGCCGAATACATCAGTGCCTTTATGTTGGTACTGTGACTGGAGGCCTGAGGACCAAAGGCAACTGAGCCTCAGGCCGGCTGCGGGTTTGGAGGCTACAGCGAACGTGTCGAGGGTTTGGATGTAAACCGAGGTGCCCGCCGTGGGGACTGGCTGGTACGAGCTCCCTCTTTGCAGAAGCTCAGCTCTGTGTTGGGCGCAGGACCTGAGGCTGGGCACCTCCAGAGTCACAGGAGATTGATGAGGCCCAGGCCTGGCTGTGGCACTGGTTGGCACTCAGTAAATGTTTGTTGAATGAGTGAATGTGACCTGGAATGGCCTTCCAGGAATAGGTAAACTGAGCTTGGTCTTCAAGTGTGGGTGGGGTTTGTACAGGAACAGAGGAAAGGGTAAAGGGAACATCAGCACAGCGTGAGTCAAGGGCATTGGCTCATTCAACAAATATTTCTCCAGATACTGTGTGCTGAGCAGGCTCTGGAAGGCTGGTGGTGGGGTGTGCACGTACTCACTGGGCCCGATGGAATGTCCCGCGATGTAGGCGAAGACACAGATGACACCAAGGTAAGACAGCTCCGGGACCGTGCTCTGTGGGGAGAGGCATGGCTGTCTGTTTCTGACAAGGCCTGGGCTGGGGCCTCTGAGACCTTGAGGCCAAGACCCCACATGCAGATGAGCCCACCTGTGGCCCCACCTTCCTGCCACCGGTAGGAGCCACACCTGGATCTGAGCACCTACCTGGGCTGCAGGGGCTCTGTGGGCAAGAGCACGAGAAAGATGAGAACAAGGGCTGACATCTAGTTGCAGCTGACAGGGTTCCCACAAGCTTTTTCTAGTTGAGAGTAGTGTGACAGGAGGCGTACCTCCCTTTTTAAATTTTTTTTTTCTGCCCTTCACAAATATCAACCCACTTAATCTTCGTGACCTCCCTCTGAGCGAGGATATTATTGTTTCAACCCTACACGTGTGGACTCAGAGCACAGAGAGCCTGAGCACAGACCATGAGGATGCCCAGTCCCTCAGAGGCCAAACAACGGCCCAAGCCGGACCGTCAGCAGGGCTGGAGGTGGCTCCCAGACTCTGCACTCGCTGAGAGAATCCCTCCAGAAGCCATGGACTAGGAGAGCCGGCAGGCCATCTCTGCTGCCACAGCCAGGGCACCGGCCGGCACACAACCAGGTACAGCCTTCAACCAAACTAACCGGGCGGGTAACTGTTTCACTGCAGTTATAAGGACTACGTAGGAGGAGGTGGCACAGCGCTGCTGTGAGGTGGGCCAGGATTGTCCCCAAGCCGCAAGGTGAAAGATGACAGGGGAGAAGGACAGCCTCCAGAACACTGGATGACATGTGAAGAGCCAGCCGAGGCTTCTGAGCAGAGGACGGACAAGCTCTGATTCACGTTTCAACAAAGACAGCTGTGGGTGGTGCGGCAGAAGCAGGTGGGGCAGCTTGGGGTCCATTTCCAAACTTGAAGCAAGAGAGGAGATGGCTGAGGCTGGAGGGGCCGTCCTGGACACGGTGCCACGTGGGCAGCTGCTGGGTACATGTTCAGGCAGAGCCGACAGGACTGGCCAATCGGTTAGATGAAGGCAGTAAGACAAAAAGCGTCGTGGGGGAGGCCACGGAGGTTTCCCAGATGTGACTAGCAATTCTCTCCGTAGATAATGTCTAGTTTTATTTACTTCTTTTCACTTGCCTAAAGTCCCTAAAGGTTCTGCTAAAAACTTAGATGAGTTTTAAAATAAAAAAATTAAGATATTTAAAAAGGAAGCTTTAATTAAACCAAGACAGGAATGTCACTAGTATTTTCCTGGCCAGTCTCGTCCCTTGCTGACGGCCAGTTGTCCACCTGATGGTCTTTGCGCTCAGCGAGGAATTAAGGGGAAGTCATTATGAAGAGGACAGCTTGGAAAAGAAGGAAGACGCTGTCTCTGAATTACAGAATAACCTCTCTGCATATTCTCGTCTTCGTGTATGATCGTGGTTCCAAATAAACAGTTTTACTTGAAAAGGGTTTCTGTCTGCTGGCGCTGTTGCCACAGAAACAACGGCCAAGAAGTAGGGCAAGACGTACAAACTGCTGGTTGTTTTCAGAAGAGTTCATGTTATGGCCATCCTACCTATTTTCAAAATTTTCGCAGAACACGGATAATAAATGTAGGATGAGAAAATTACAAATTAAAATGATGTATTTCTTGTTTGGGGAAAAACAAGAAAGATTGTGTTCCAATATTACTCTGACCCAATCTCCAATTAGTTTATAGCCTCTCATATTACTGTTTATTTTCCCATTGCATTCTGATCAGGTCTCCAGGATATTTCTAATATTAGACTCCGACTTACATCTTGACATGTCGTTGGATTTCAAGATGAGAGCTGCACCTATTTTTGCAACCTGGGGGGTTATTTTAACAGCACGTTTATAAATCAGACCATACTCACTCGCTAGCATGTTACATAGCTTTCTCATGTCCTCCGCCCTAACTTTCTAATTTGCCTGTCTGTTGTCCCTACTCCACTTAAGGACATTTTCCTTTCTCCTATCACATGCAAACACATGTGGTCCACGGTTTATATTAATCCTTATCCTAACACTAGTTTATTCTATCGTCCACACCAGCTCGGTTCTCATTTTCTTCTCCTTGAATGGAATGACTTCTGATCTTCCTTCTTTGATATCGACTCTCGCTCATCATTGGTGGATATTTTCTAGTGTATTTACAAATTGAAATCCATATTTTATTGTTGATTTTCCTTTTTTTCTTCTTTACGTTATGGTTAGGGCATTCTATTTAGTTACTGTTATTTGCATGCCTGTGTGTAGGACCTGGCATTACGAAGTCCTTGCAATGTAGGGGGTGTGGAGTTGGACACGATTGAGAACCACCCTGGCCTGTTGGTGCTGGTTCTGTTACGGGGCCTCCCACACCCCTGCGAGCTCAGCGTCCCTGCTTCAGTTCCCAGCGCGGTGGGGCAGGGAAATGAGTTCAGACCTGGAAGAGGAGCGCCAGCGTCAGCGTGAGGCAGGCCGAGCCGCAGATGCCGTAGCCGACCAGCAGGAGGCGCCGTCTCCCCAGCCACTCAACGGTGAAAGCCTGGAGGAGAAGCGGAAAAACCTGAAGACCTCAGGGCTCTGGGGGCGCCCAGAATTCTTGGACCTGGCGCTGCCACTCCCTCCTCCAGTCCCTCCCTAAAGTGCCTCCTCTTACTTCTGCTGCCTTCTACGTGGAACGCAGGCTGCTTCTCTCGACGTGAGTTTGAGTTCACGCCATCAGACTCTACACCACTGCCCTTCCTTGTCTCAGTCATCTGCAGGCCCCCTGGGTCTCCACAACCTGCACCCCTCACCCCTGCCCCATTGTAATAACCACATTTTCCAGTTTCTGTATTTGATGCTTTGACATCTTGGGGCCCTGCTGACCTCTGGAGGGACTGTCCCTAACCATGCTTAGCCAATTGCTAGAGACAGCAAACAAATCACTTGTGAGTGTGCCTTTCATATGAAACTAACCCATCCAAAGCCCACACCTCCCCCACCTCCTCTATGGGGCTCTCACACTCAGGGCCACTGCCCCCTGCTCTAATCACCCAGGGCAGGCAGCAGACAACCAGGGGTAGCCTCTGTGCCCCAAAGCCAGCTGAAACCATTCAAACTGGCCAGTCCTGAGCCTGCTCACCCTGTCTTCCTGTCCCTTCCCGCAAGCCATAATAAAGGCCCTTGCTCACACCTCTCCCCCACCCCTCCCTCTGGCTGACCCTGGTGCCCCTCAGAGTGGCTCTGTGTCACGTGGCCTGCCCCTCCTTTCCTCCTCTCACAGTTTGGAACTGTGAGT